ACCCTGCACTTAGCCCATCTCAGCCCTATCCACTCATGCATACACACATCTATATACTTAATACAAATAAACATCATTATCAAGTAGATCAACACACATATATACATATTTAGATTTATATAAATAACAATAATTAATATTGCCAAAATTCGGGGCGTTACAATCGCCAGCTAGCAGTTTATGGTAGGCCCTAGTCATCAGTTCATGCTAGATTTTTTTCTTATTCTCAGTCCTATGCAAAATTTTGTCATAGGTTTAGCCCAGGGTAATATTGCACGACATATATCTTTTAGTCCACCTTTAATGTTAGATGTTGATGTTATGGTTTGGCTAAATTCATCCAATACAGCCAGATCTATGCCACCACCAGATCATCTATATCGACCATCACCAACACATATCTGAATTCCCTCCTTCACTGGTTTACCAGAGGAGGAGAAGGAGCGTGAAACAAATTCCCAACAGCAGGAAGCGGATGACTAGTATATGCATGACCATAGTCAATAGGAGGAGAAACATGCACACTGCAGACCTGTACCACAGATTATATATCATTGTTGTGCAACAAGGAGTCACCTTACTAGGCCTAGACACAACAGGTGTGGCCCATAATCACATATGCTGCATGGTAGTATAAATATTTTATGGACTACATATTTTGAAAATTTAATTTCATGTACTTTGAAATTTTAATTACATGTAGTTTAGAATTTAAATTTTATGTCTTTTGAAATATTATTTTTACATTGATATCATCTAATAGTTTATAAAATCATTATACAAAAATATTAACAAATCAAATTAAAATTGTTTTTTCTTTAATTTGGGTAAGAAATTGAAAGAAATTATATAACTTAAATATACATAGATTATAATTGAAACTCAAAAAAATTGCATCTAATACACAATATATTTTTTTTAATTCTAAAAATTGTGCTGCCAAAAATGGTTTAAATCAACTTCTATATTAAAATTGAAGTTGATTTTAATTGACTTCTATATAATTCAAATTATGATATTTTTGTAAAACTTTTTATTTCAGTGTATATACTTAATATCCAATTTTTTTATTTTATTTAAATAAAAAAACTCCACTTTATAAGATGGAACTAACGTATTAAATATAAATATGATTGACTGAAATAAATATAAATAAAATAGAAAGAATAATGTTATTCGTCTTATATATCATCTTATTAATCTTTTTATATTTTATAAACAATAGACGTATTTAATATGTTTGTAAGCATAGTAAATTTAATAATCTTTATTTTGTAAGAAAATAAACTAATAGAAAGATGTTGTAAGAAAATTCAAAATGATAATTTTAATGTGGGTGATAAGAGAAGTGGATTGAAATTACTTCAACAACTTTTATATATATATATATATATATATATATATATATAATTTTATTAATTCAGTAATTAGTCTGATAATTTTATTAAGTAATTCAAATATATAAAGTTTTATATATAATTTAAAACTCGATTGATTATTTTATTAATCAACTTCATTTTATTTTATAATATATATTTTTTACAATTTAATATACATGATTATTAAAATAATTTCACATGATTCAAAAATCATATTTCTCAAATTTGTATTCAATAAAAGAACTTATCAAATAAATTGAGTGTCCAACACTTGTTTCTAAAATAAAAGAACCCTCTTTTCTTTCAAATTATTTGTAAGGTTTAATATGTTCAAAATTTTCAATATAAAATGGTTTAAATTTTCTTGTGGTTACAGTGACTTTATGGAAACTAGATACTACTGAAACTAATTATTATTTATTATAACTGCCATTTTTTAATTGGGAAAAATGTATATTCTTATATTTATTGCTAACTTCAATCTTTCCCAACAAGAAAAAAAATTATAAAATAATGTTAAATTTTAATTGTACATTTGGTTTTCAGTCTACGTGAAATTTTGGTCGCTTTATACGTATTTTGATCTTTTTAAGAATAATTACTTACATTTAGTCTTTTTAAGCTATTAATTATTTAAATTTAGTCTCCACCTTAACATTTAATTTAATAATTACTGAAAATATAACAAACATATTATATACAAAATATAATATTATTGATTTATACAAACTTGAGAAGAAAATAGTATATAAAAAAATAATTCAATAAAAATAGTTTTTTTTTTTTATATTCTTATTTAAGTGTTATATATATATATATATATATATATATATATATATATATATATATATTACTAATTATACAAATCGACAATATATCACATATTTATTTTATTTTTATCAAATATTATACAAAATTTTGTAATATAAAATTTAATTTGAATAATTTAAAAAAATAAAAAAACATAAATATAAGTAATTAAAATTAGAGTGACAAAAATTATACATAATTAAAGTATAAAAACTAAAGATGCAATTAATTAGCCTAATATAAATTAACATTATAAATGTGATAAATAGTTTCATTGATTAATTTAATGAAGTGACCGGTTGAAATTTTATTATTATTTTGAATAAAAAGCAATTTCAATTACTATTAAATTAATTTAATTTTTAAAACTTAAATATTTTAAAAATATAAAAGAAGTAGCTTATATTAAATTGAAGGAAAAAATTAAATTGGTGACACGTGATATGAAATTCTTATACGATGAGAAACATAGTAGAATTAAATTCTTTAATTTATAAGAATTTACGATAAGTAATAACAAAATTAAAAGTAGATATAATTATTTTAACATAAAAAATTCTCTTAGCGTGAAAAGATAAAAATCACTAGTCATGTTGATTAACAATAAAAAAGTTTCACTGCAATCAAATAAAGGTATAAAAGACTTACAAGTAAATTTTCTTTTGTTAAGATGGAAGTTCAATATCTAACATTAAATATATACAGAATGGCTTATTAAAACAAGATGCAAGGAAGCGAAATAAATATAAATAGTTGACAAAATAAATAAGAAATATTAGTCAAACGCTGTTATCTTTACGCAGTTTTTGTCGATCAATTAGTACAAATGGTTTTTGTATCACTGAGCATTTGGGTTAAAACAAATTAGAATATATTATATTAAAGTCGATGCATAATATTATCACTTCTATTTATTTCAATTTTCAATGAAATGAGTTGGCATCAAGCCTTTGCAGTTAAGGAGACGCAACGCAACCACAAAACTCTACTCTTCTGCCAAGTGCTATGGTAATTCCAGCTCGCATTCCCTTGTGGACGTGCATTGTGGGTAATTGCTGTTAAGGAGACCCCACTTTGCCCAGTCACTGACATGACATGGAAATACAACGTTGAATAAGATAAAACTTAGGAAGCATCGCGGAAGCAACCATCTCTTTATCTGCTGCCACTTCGCAACCAACCCTTCCCCTTACTGCCTTGCACTCAATAACTTTCCTCACCATTGCACTATTGCTGTTCAAACATGGCACATGTGCTGTCCCTGCTGCTAAACGGAGTTGGAGGGTTTGTCAAAACGCTTTGGGCTCTGCAAGAACGCCGTTGGTCCTACACTTTCGACTTTGTGGCCTCTGCTACCATGTCCGTAACCATGACGGTTGTGCTCTGCTTGTTGTCCATTCGTAGTAGTCATAGACAAAGACGAGGTGATATTGTATTTGCCTCTTTCTGATTTAACTATTCTTGGATATCCAATAACTATCTCTTATACATTCTGCATTTTGTTTTATCAAATTCTGAGTTAAGATATCTTGGCTGCTGCGCTGGATAACATGAAACAAGAATTAGCTCTGTTTTGCCCCTCACTTTAGCAAGCTTACACTCTTTTAGTTTGGATAATTCAGATGTCTAAATTCGTGTTTTTAATTATGTCCGTTATGGGCAAATATAGATTTGCATTCCCAGTAGAAATGTCGTGACTTTGTTAACTTGTTCTTTAGTCATTCCTCATTAGTCATATATGATCATTAATAAATCGGCAGAATCGCATACATCCACGGCATGGACATACAATGGATTAAAGGCAGTTGGTGTTTTAAGTTCATATTCGTAATTATCATCCAATAAGGTCAGGTGGTAAAGTTTGGATGAATTATTATGGAAGTATTTGTAGTTAATCCATCTGCGCATTTACTATAAAACAAATCAAGTAAACAGTACCAAAATTGTTCAACCTACTAGCCCATAGCATCTTTCAAATTAGTCAATTGCCCACTAAATTTGTTGAGTAACTGTTGTATTTTTCTAATATATCTTCCTATTAGTTTTCTTAAATACTCTATAGAATAAGTATTAAATACATTAAATGTATTCAATTGTTTCCTTTATTTAATAAATAAGATTTTATAAGATTTTACTGTTGATTTTGATTCAATTTCTAATATAATGTCTTCACATTATTAGTTTAAAACAACCTTGTTTTTACTCTACTCTGGTATTTCCTGGCTAGCTACTTCCTGCTGTACAAGCTTCAATAACACAGCTAAGCAATAAAGTCCATCAAATCAAAAGTACCCTTGTTCACCAATTCATAAGTACCCTAAACGATTCATAAGACTTTACGTTTCTTAAAAGGAAGCTTCCCATCCAGTGCATGCATTTAGAATTAATAGCTTGTCAGCTTTCCCAAGTATAACTCCTTGTTATCTTGTAAGTTAAAAGATATGGCTTTCTGGACAGTCAGTTGCTTGTTAGGTTAGCCAACGCTCGTTGCAAGTAATCATGTAGGAGTATGGGAATGAGACTAGTAGTACCACGTTTAATATATTAATACAATGTTTTTTGAAAAAAGATATAAATATGGCAAAAATATATTAAGTAAATTTTCTTTTTTGAATATATTTAATGTTTATATTAGTTTACCATATTCTACTACTATTAATCTTTAACCTCTCGAAAATTTTATTGAAAATCATGTTTATCATCAAATTTAAATAAAAATAATATATTCAAGTTATGATACTAAGCTCTTTGTTATCCAAAAAATTGTATAATCGTAAATTTAAAGGTAATGAAATAAGCTTTGGGATTGAGAGTTGTATAATATTCATACGGAGCATCTGATATGCGTACAATATGGGTACATTACCAATTTTGAAGGATTTGTGTGTCATAGCTGCACCAGAATTGGGTATCAACACAGAAATGTCAAGGGCAAGGATAGTGTTACCACCCAGTTACTATTGTGTGCTAGGATGACAGATCTTCACGGGCACTATACACTCCGCATCGACCAATAATTATTCGCTTAAAGATACAAATCAGATATAATAGGCCTGTCTTACTACGAGCTATAGCAATCAGCACTAATTCCTTAGTCCATCCTCATTGCTCCACATTATTTATTTAGTCCTGAAGCAGATGTGCAGGAAACGATGATTTCCTTGCTGCTGGAAGGAACACATTTTTATGCGCCAAAAATTACATTACACACAATAATATAACCACAGGTTACAAGGGAGGTCCTTTAAGGCGATGTCAAGCCCTAAGGTATCCATTCTCCTCCAAGTAGGATATCACTATTTCAGCCATATCACTTGGAGACTTGCAGTCATTTCCTTTCTGTTGTAATACTATCTGCAAGATAAAGAAGGCTCAATCTTTTGAAATGAAAGTGAAAGGCGGAATTGATAATATGGAAAACACAAGGGCAATGATTTAGACGATAGTTCAGCAGAAATTTCAAAGGCAAAGGAAACTATGACATCTGGCTTATATACTAAACCTATGTCCTATCCATTTAAGATCAGAAAAATGAAAGAAAAGGAAAAGAAATTAAAAAATGAATAGAATAAGCTGCCCTGTCCAGAAGACAAGTGTTCATTTCCACGGTAGAGGCAAAGAGAACTAAAATCTTTCAATTATAATCAGGATGGTATCTATTTGCTATTTGATAACAATAATTGAATGTTGAAGTTTTCATACCGTTTTTGCACGGGTTAATAATGACTCAATAATTGGTTAACATGTATAAATTAAGTTAACGGACTAATAACCTGTTCCAACTTGTCAGTGACATATTTGTTGTCCTTTATCCAAACTAAATACCTAGTTTGTCAATTATTGAGACATAATTAAGATGTAACTATACCACCAACGTACGCAATGCAACAAATACATACCTCACAAGTACACGGTGGTTCATATGGATCATCTATACCAGTGAAACCTGAACAATACCAGAAAAAGTAATTCAATCCCAATAGAAGAACTGTATTCCAGAATGATAATTAGAAAAAAGGAAAATAAGCATGATATATAGCTGAGCTGCTGATATTAACGTTGTTAAACAAAGAATCCAACAGTACATTATTGTTGCACACATGGGTACATAATATCAAATTAGATTGCAGGCAGTAATGTGAATATTTATACCAAGTTACCTTTGATCTTTCCAGCTCGAGCAAGCTTGTAGAGTCCCTTTGGGTCCCTAGCTTCACACACATGTAGTGGAACGTCTATGAAAACCTACGTGTGGGCATTGTTTTAACCATGATTTATGAAGAACCTCTTCTTGTTCAATAGTCGTACAGTACCCTATTAGCATATGCTAAACTAACTATACTATTTGGATCACCATAATAAGAATATACCTCAATAAAATCTCCTTCTGGAAGTAGTGCTCTGCAAGCATCTCTATCCTTTCGGTAGGGTGATATTAAACTAGTGATGCAAATAACACCAGCATCTGCAAAGAGTTTTGCCACCTCACCTGAAAATTTTTAAATCATGACGTGATTAAAGGGGGAAGAGCTAACAAAACGTAAGAACAAAATCTAGACATGCGTATAAATATTGTAAAAGGTAGACTCACCAATCCTTCGTATGTTTTCTGAACGATCTTCTGCTTTAAAACTAAGATCATGGTTCAGACCATGCCGCATATTGTCCCCATCAAGGATGTAAGACAGTTTTCCTCTGGAGTGTAAGCTTCGACTCAAAGCACATGCAATAGTGCTTTTTCCTGTAAACAATAAGGATGAGTCAAGAACTGAGAGCGAGGGAGGGCATAATGGTATATCCTGATATAAATACGATGTACAAACTAATCACATTATATTTCATATCTGCAATTATATCTGGCGATAAAATTGAAGTGCTTTGGCCAACACCGTGCTAAAAGTTACACATTTTCAATAAATGATGACAATATTTTTTAAATTGTATAGATTTTAATAGTCATATAGATCACCAAGAGAATAAATAAGAAACAGCTGCTCATAGGCAATCTAGCTGCTGATACTTGGACATTATGTTAACTTAGGGCTAAGTAACAGAAAGCAGGGTTCGATATGGATCTGCCCTATAATATACTTTAAATTATATAATTTGCCAGCATTGATAGGCAAAGAAAATTCATTCGGACTGGGTAGTTGATCTAGGGCTAAAGTGAGTTCAATTTTTATTCCACATGAATGTGTTAAATTAAGCTGTGCTTGAACCACAAAAATATAGATAGAGCATTGGTTGTGAGGTAGGCAAAAGAAAATCAGTAGTTTGAACTATGATGATTTCAACAGCATAACTAGCTAAGGAAGTTTTTTAGTGCCATTACATACTCCAAATAGGTGTTAAGTAAATTCTGCTGATGTAAAAATAGTAGAAGTATGCATTCTGTGACTGTAAGGGCCTATTATGGGTCCATCTAAATCTTGACCATTTAGAGTATGTTTGTTTACATTTTTAAAAGGAGTTTTCTCTTTTTAAAAATTAAAAATACATGTATTTTTAATTTTTAAAAAGAGAAAACTCTTTTTAAAAATGCAAACAAACATATCCATAGTATTTTATATTTTAATATTGTTTCACATTATATATCAAGTTCAGTAAAAAACAATTAGTCTGTAGTAATTTTGTTATGTCTTAGAAAATTTGTAAAGTAATTAGTGTTTCCTTCAGTTCATTTGTCAGGCAATATATTAACAACTGTTGTTACAATTAGGTTGAAGAAATGTAGTGCATAGTGCATAAGAAACAAGACGCTGGAACATTTTTAACTGCTCACTTATACAACAATACAAACAGTAATGAAACCGGAGCATATACCTAAATCAATGCTCATTGTTCCCGCTCATGCATTGAATTTCAGACAACAGACAACATATAAAAAGAATCATACAAAATCCATAGATACAAACGAAATCACCCTTAGAATCCTGGAGTCTTTAAGATAGAGAGATAAAGGAAGCAAGGACTCTACTCTTTCACACAATTGTGCTGTCATCTCATCTTTGCTTGATTTAAATGAACAAAAGCAGTCATTCAGAGAGAGTAACTATAAAACGCCACAAACCTGAACCACTGAGGCCAGTTAGCCATATAACACAGCCTTTTTGCTGAAGTAGATGCTGTCTATCTTGTTTCTGAATTGGACAGTCATGCCACAAAATGTTCGTCGAGTTTCCAACATTTGACATCTGGCGGAGATTTTTACCTAGTCACATAATAGATTGGTTAACAATTTGAGCCCTGATTCCCTTGAATGAAAAAAAAAAAGTCAACTTCCCATACGTATGTATCAATATTCAATCCGTACACTATAATTCAACAAAGTCAACAGATTTCCAGCTTCAACCCTTATATAACCTATAGAAGACCCAGGGTATTTCAAGTCTTAAAGCTTAAATCAAGATGAAAAAAAAAGGAAAACAAAAAACAAAAAAAAAACAGCATAACAGAAAGAACTCTACAAAACTTACCATTTTTTCTATTATTTATTAGAATCATTTATGATGCTCACCTGAAAAGTCACCTCAGCACCCTTTATCAGCTCTCAAGAGCCACTGAACAGGAATATGTGCGTTTTTATCATAGATGCATCGATCTTAAGTTGACTGTTTCGGCACAGCATAGACGTAAAAGGTTGCTATAGCTACACGGCACCGAAATATGACCCTACGTAGCTGAGTTGTACAAATTTTAAATGGCTCAACAGGAATCCCTTACTTCGCCGTCTTTTCTTCCTAATAATTATCTCGTTGAATTTGAACGTCCATGACCAATGGAAATAGTTGCCATTTTATTTTTAATTTTTTAAAAATAAAGTAAAACAAGGTTTTAGATTCCGAATGTATCTAAATAAATTCCCCGCACGGACTTCTACGGTATAACGAAGCTCGTTGAAAATTACCTATAATAATGACTCTGAGTATTTGCATTCCAGAAAAGGTATTCTAGATTCCAGATCTTGATACTGAATCTGAAAAGAAAAATAGTAGTACCAGAAAATGTAGCAGCACATTCCTCTGTCCAAGACGAGTCATAGTCCTCCTTTGCCTTAATTGGCTTGAACCAATTCCCAGAGCATTTTCGGTTACACTCGTCGATCAAAGAATTAACGGCGTCCTCCTTCGCCTTAATCGGCTTCAACAAGTTCGATCTCAAACCGTCGCCGTGGAGGACCAAGCTTCTGCGACAACGGTAAAATCCGGCGGCGACATTGATTCCGCAGAGCTTAGCGAACCCTAGCTTATCTGCTGGCGGCGACGGCAACGTCACCGACGGTCCGCATTCGATGTTGTGGAACATTCCGGAGCGACACGGCGGTCGCGGCGCGGCGGTGGTCGTAGGAAGAAGAATTAGACAGCGAAATGAAGATTGTGTTGTGAGTTTGAAAGAAAGAGAGAAGGGTGAAGAAGATTGAGTGGGTGTGGTTTGAAGTTCGGGCAGCAGAAAGTCCCTTCCGTAACCGTTTTCTGTTATGGCTAACATTTTATACTAAGCTTAGTGCGAACTCGATTTGGCATTAGTCATTGGCACCCTTTTAATAACAAAAGCCGTGCACGGGATTTGCCACCCTGTGATTCTGGCTCGTTGCTGAGAAATAAAGCTCGTCAAATCAGTATGTCTGTAACATAAATATTTATTGGTTTAGAAATTTGTTGATGTATCAACTTTTTATAAAATAGCTCTCTTGATAATTTTTAAAATTTAATTATTTATAATAATATTTTATTAATTTACATCCAACCTTTTAAAATGTTATTTTTTCTTACATTTCATTTTATTTTCACATCTTCCATTAAAAACATTAATCCTGTCATCTCCTTTTTTCCATTATAATTATAACATAGTATTTGTTGAATATTAATTTTAAGGATTAAATAATGTTTTATCTTTGAACTTCACTCAAATTTGTAAATTAGTCTTTACATGTAAAAAATTTATAAATCAGTTTTCATGCGTATATTTATTTTCAATTTAGTTCATGCCGTTAAGTTTAGAGTAAACGACATTAAATAAGAGACTAAATTAAAAATAAATATAATATAAAAATTAATTTATAAATTTTTTACATGTAAGAATTAATTTACAAAATTTTATATATAGAGATTAACTTACAAATCTGAATCAAAAGTATTTTTATAAATTTATAAAACACTTTTTGTTTGTATCTTAATTTTGCAATTCATTCACACTTTTCTTTTAATCTCTGCCTCTAACTTCACTATCTTCTTTCTCTATGTAAACTTTAACGGAGGTCATAGTCTCTTTTTCTTTTAACTTTTCCTCCTCAAAATCTAATCAACTCTTAACAATCTTTACCGAATTCTCTTATCTTCTCAATTATTTCATCATCTTCACCATCACTCTCACCCACACCACATCCATATCAACGTATCCCAAACCTCAATCCTTCATCAAAATCCTCTCCATCTTTGAATGCACCTTTATCAGTATTGCTAGTAACAGAATTACCAACGTATAGAGAATAAATTGAAAATAAATATGCGTATAAAGACTGATTTACAAATTTTTTACATGTAGAGACTAACTTATAAATTTGAGTTAAGTATAAAGATCAAAATATTATTTAAACCTAATTTTGATTTAAAATTTAAATTTTTTTTGTTGATAGCTTGCATACAGAAGCTTTTTACAAATCTCTCGCTCTCTCTCCTTTATAATAACTCACGCATATATGTTACCCATCACTTCCACATTTGTTTATATATATATGTTATATATCTATATCCATATCTATGATAGTGATATTTATAGATCATATTTTAATTTCTTTTATTAATTTTTATTCTCTCATGCAATAGTTAACTGAATACATTTTTTAAACATTTTAATAATTTAAATTTTATTATAAAATTTGATTTTTTATTAATTTAATTATTAATGTATTAATAGTAAATGATTTTTACTTGATGAATTGAATTTTTTATATAAATTACATGCCTTTGTGTATAATTAAATTGATATAGAATATTTTTACTACTGAGTCTTAATTAGACCTTAATTCAATTATTTTAGCATAGTATCTATTTTGTCATTATTTAATATTTGAGTTATAAGTTGAGTTTTAGAGCTTATTTTTAATGTGATTCTTGTTTTATAAGAAAACTAAGAAATGAGTCTATAACTCTCATGAAGAAATCAAAGATTTAATCTTAACATCTAGAGCCAAATTTGAGCCTAAACCAAAAGTGAGAGGAGATAAACATGAATTCTGATAAGTGTATAATATTTGAGTCCGATTTACAAATATCTGATTGGACTCATTTTAGTGACATTTGAAAGCTAACATACATAACTTTGATTCACCGTTAAACCACAAAGCCAAACATATGCAAATCCTAGGATGAAATCAAAGTGCAAATTATACATTCATTCTAAGATATTAGGTGGTTATCATTTAGGATACCTATTTTCTTAAATTATTGTATTTTTTCAAATTTTAGATTGGGTGCAATATGATTTTTTAAATTTTTATTAGGATTATTTATTATTAGGATTAGAATTTTTAGGATTTTGATTAATTCCTATTTTTAAATTTTGAACCTAATGAAAGGATGGAAAAAAACAAAGAAGAACAAATTTGATTTTCTTTTCTTTTGCATCTTCTTTCTTATTTTCTTAACTCCTAAATTCTGTGCTCTTCTATCTATAGAAGAGTAGTTTTTGTTATCTAATTCAAGAATCAAGAAAACACAACATTTTTTAGAATCAGTTTACAACATTTATTATCAATTCCAATTTTCTCCTCTTCTTTCTAATCTATTTAATTTCATGAATTAAAGATATTCATTCTAATTTCAATTTAGAAGTAAATGATTTATCATCATTTAGTTGAAGTGTATGAATCAATTTTTTAAAAATTAGGGTTAATTATGTGCTATGAAAATTAATATATTTTGATTAAATTCTAGAAGTTTTTGAATTTTAATTGATTTTGTGTTAATCAGATACATAAATGTTTTTATGTGATTACTTGGTTTGGATTGAAGTTTTCTTCAAATTTAACACTACTAGAAAATCTGCAAATATAGACAAATTTACAGACGAATTTTTTTATTATTATAGACAAATTTTAGCATTACAGACAGATTTATAGACGGTTACAGTCTGTCTGTAATATGTGCGTCGGTAAATAATTACAGATAGATTTGAAAATTCGTCTGTAATTCATTTATGAAATTTTTTAAAAATTGTTTCATTTTTTTATAAACCCCTAAACTAGAAAGGAGACGCAAAGCCTGATTGAAATTGTTCAAAATTGTAGACGATCTTTGAACGGACATTTTCCTTTGTTTCAAGAATTCTATGGCGCTGTGTATGCATTGAGGAGGACTTATTTTGCTCAAAATAACAGGTTCCAAACTACAAATCACAATATGAATACACACAATTAAATAATAAAAAGTAATATGAATACATCAATATAGAATATACAATAAGAAAAGGATGAAATCCCTAACCCTGTGTTATTTGATTTTCTCTTCCTTGAAGTGGTGGGCTTTACTTCATTTTTCTCCTCATTAGTGTCAGATATGAAAACTACTCTGCAAATGAATTATAACCTCTTAGATGCAAGCAATCATGCATAAATTGGACAAGAAAAAAAGAGATCAAAAACCTGAGCTCCTAGAGAGAGAGAGACGAGAGAGAAAGAGAGATTTATGAAAAATGAGGAAAGGAAAGGGGGAGGCGCGATTTTATGAGTTTCAGACATTACATACGGAAAAATCTGTCTATAAATTGTTTAATAAAATGGTGCATTTTAAAGGTCCATTTACAGACGGATTTTTCCATCTGTAAATTTGTCAAGTCCATTTACAGACAGAAAAATCCGTCTGTAAATAGCCAGATGAAAAGTCGCTTAAAAGGGGTAATATTTACAGACAAAAAAATTCATCTGTAACTCTCGCTCCCAATTTCCCTTCAATTTTCAAATTACAGAAAGAAAATTTCGTCTGTAATTTCTGTTTATATAGTTTCGCGCCAAATGACGGACAAACTACAGACAGATAAAAATCTGTCTGTATTACAGACGGATAAAAATCTATCTGTAATACAGACAGATTTTTCAAAAAAAAAATCATAAATTCATCTGTAAATCTGTCTGTATTATAGACAGATATTATCCGTCTGTAAATAGCGCTTTTCTAGTAGTGTAAGTTTTAACCATTGAATTAAAATATTATTAATTTTGAATTTAATGATTAGGTGTTCTTATTTTCTTCTTGATTCTTGAATTAAGTGTTTAATTATTTGATTAATTCCTCTTGTTTTAGATTTTGTTCTATCCATTTTATCAAATTTCCTCGTTCTAAACTTTAATTTCATAAACTGCTTTGATAATCCTTAAGAGACAATTATAGTTGCTGATGAGAATTTTGTGTACGTATGACAAGTGGACCATATCGTTCAAGTAACAAAAATAGGTGAAAATCGAGATATCGTCCACAAGGAGCTTGTTAATTTGTATTTTCTTAAAATATAAAAGATTTGAACATATTTACGGAGGAATGATTGATGAGTTTCATACTTTAAAGACTGTAAAAACATAAATTTAAAGAAAACAAAGAAAAAATGATTTTTAACCAAATTAAATACTATTGGAATTGAATATCATCATTCACCCTCTTTGTATTCTTTTGATTCAGTGATATATATATAGATTACGAAATCATAAATTCCTATACAATGCACTCAAATCATTTATAATGATTCTTTAGTTACAAAATCCTAATATAATTTCTTAAATATCGATTCCTCAAGTATTTAACAAATTATCCAGTAGTAAGATCCAACGTTTAAAGTAATTGATATATTGTTATATATTCCTAAAATAACAATATATCAAGTAATATCATTCAGATAAGATTCTAAATCATATTTTCCAATAAAAACTTAGATCCAACATTGAGAAACTAGCCACCAAATAGAATCAAACATTAAGAACAGAATGAAATTACCAAAATTTATAATAATGCCAACATCTATATATATCTGAATCAAAAGGAATACATAGAGTTAGAAGATTATATTCAATCCTAAACGTAAGAAAATTAGCCGCTCATCGCAACCATAACAACAAAAGACCAAAGGAGATCCAAGAAATTTAGTTCTAAAATTGTTTCCACAAACTTTTTTACCTTCTTTCTCTAGTTTCTCTCTCTAAAAGTATTCAAAAATGAAGAAAAGAAAAAGATACATTGCAAAACGTGTGAATCACCTTAAACAGGATTCAGGATAAGTGAATTTTCGTTGGAGTGAGAAAATCTCACTCTAGCAAGGAGAATACTTCATGCTGAAGAAAGGGGTTCTCGCTGCGCTCTAGTGAGAACAGGGGTCCCAAAATCACTGCTCTTTGTGCCCTTCTCACTCTAGCGAGATATTTTCACTCCAGCAAGATTGAGTTATCAAAAACTCCTAGTTTCTGTGGCCTTCTTGCTCCAACAAAAGATTTTTGCTCAAGCGAGGGGATCACATATTCTTCTTCTCTTATTGACTTTAACTTTTTGCTTGTTTCTTCAAAATCATTTCAATCTTTACTCTTCTCTTAGCTTAAACTTACCTACAAAATGAATATTTGGAGATCAA